TATATATATATATATATATATATATATTCGTGCATCATACTGAGTGCCATTGGAATGCGATCATGCTTAAAATGTGTTTTTAATATTTGTGGTCCCTCATGTCCAATAGTATTTTTTTGTGTTGAGATGAGTTTAAATTATTTCAAGCTTGGGTCAATTACATGTTGTATTGGAATTTAGGAAGCATTTTGATTTAACACAACTGGCTGGCAGCACTGTATTAGCCAACTCAAAGTGCTGCAGCAATGACAGTGCACTAGTAGTGCTTGTCTAAATTGAAGGGTTCGTTGTTTTTCAGTGGATGGCTCTTCTTTATGAATGACAAAAGGAGAGATGGAATACTTTAATGCAGTTTATTAAAAGGAGAAAGAAAAAAAAACATCTGCACCTCCGAACGGATGAACGAGAACACCCCCCCCTTTCAGCACGAAAGCACTTCCTGCTTCTCTTTACTTAGCCAATCAGACGCTAGCAACATAAGAATGTTTCAACAATTATTAAACAGAATATAATTTAGATAACTATAACATTAAAGAATATAATGCTCAAATATAAAATGAAAATAATTAATAATCTAACATAAGATTACATTCTTCCCCCTCCCACTTGAGAAATGTCCTCATTTCTAATTCGATCACTTAACTGTAAATTCAGGTTATAACAAATGAACAACATTTTACAGGGGGGAAAGGCATCAGGAACATGTCAGAACAAAGTTTTTGAAATTAACATGGCGGTGGCCTGGGCGTGTAAAGGAACTGGGACTTGAGGCCAATGCTGCAGGCAGAGCTGTAGGCCTTCTGTCCACAGCAGCAGATCTGAAGGCAGATTGCAGCTTTTGGGTCACTTGTATTGTCTTGTCAGCTGGAGTTTGTGGAGATTGACGACTGGACATTAGAGAGGAACAGGACATCAGCGGGCATCCGTGCCTTTCGACCATGTGTCAGGAAAAAGCGGGTGAATCCCGTGGAGGAGTGAGAGCTGGTGTTACAGGCCAGAGCCGCCTGATTGAGGCAGTCGTCCCACTCTCCTTTAAAAACTGGTGATGAATCAACGTTGAGGCGTCCAGGTGGAGTAACATTTGCAGCAGCCACAGAAGTAGTAGCAGAATGAGCCATCTCAGTTGGTTGACAAATGGACATGGTGAACTCAAAAAGGTTGAACAATGACGGTAATAATATCCAAAAAGAAGGTAGGGAAAAAAAATATAAAACTGCAGGAAACCTCAAAATCTCATCCAAAATACTGACTAGCAGCAGCCATTCAGTAGATCGCAAAACTCCATGTGGCTAGCAAGATGACAATTCGCAAGAAAAAAATCCTTGCATAAAAAGAGTCAAAAAGCCACACAAAACATACCAACACCGTTGCCACCAATGTAAGTTGAGGGGTTCGTTGTTTTTCAGTGGATGGCTCTTCTTTACGAATGACAAAAGGAGAGATGGAATCCTTTAATTCAGTTTATTAAAAGGAGAAAGAAAAAAAAAACATCTGCACCTCCGAACGGATGAACGAGAACGCACCCCCCTTTCAGCACGAAAGCACTTCCTGCTTCTCTTTAGCCAATCAGACCCAAGCAACATAAGAATGTTTCAACAATTATTAAACATAATATAATTTAGATAACTATAACATAAAAGAATATGATGCTCAAATATACAATGAAAATAATTAATAATTTAACATAAACTTACACTTGCAACACGCAGACGTGCCCAGTTTCGCTTCATTCGTAACATGTAGTTATCCTCGTCGACCCAAGTTATTTTATGAGTGTGCAGAAATGTCAGTGATGGAATGCAATAGTGGAATACAACGTTATTTGTCAGACACTGTTGTTCTTGAACTGCGACCAAGTGTGCTAAATTCTCTTACACGTGAGGACAAAGAGCGGACTCTTAAGTAGACATTAAATCGAATAGATGTTCAAATTTAATGTTTGGAAATAATTGACATTGGTTGTACTGCTCTATAAATTACCCCAGATGGCGCACAAGGAGAGGCAGCCACAGGAGCGCAAGCAGAGACTTTGCAACATGAACACACCGGTTCGTCCTCGCTCTCTTTGCACCTGCAGCCGCCCCTCCGGTGCTCTTCTTCTCTGTGCGACGGAGGTGGGCACCGAGAGGCGGCTGGTGGACGCATGGCGGTCTTGAGCACCTGGACAGAGCCCTGCACCTACGGCCAAGCCATTCCAGGTGCCAGGCAGAGACAGAGCTATGGTGATACTCCGTTATCATATGTCGTATCAGAAGAGTGCGGTGTGGTTAACGGAGCCGCAGCAACCTAAATGACAGCTATTTCGATTAAAAAAAAAAGGACGGGCTAGTGAACCCGATCACTGTAGGGTAAGAATAGTGTAGCCTCTGGAATTCTTAGGACAATACTTTTTTGGCCTTTATTGAAGTTGTAAAGGATGGAGAAAGGCGCAGCGCACAAACCGCAGCCGTCCAAAAGGGCAGACAGTCACGCGGACGACATCGCCAAGGTAGCCGACGAGGAGCTGCTCCTGTGGAGCAAAGACGAGCTGGTGAGACGGTTGCGGAGGACCGAGGCAGAGAAGAGAGGCGTCATCGTGGAGCACGGGAACCTGATGCGGGAAGTGAACAGAAGGCTCCAGCAACACCTTAATGAGATCCGGAGTTTGAAGGTGAGATCGGTTGCGGGTGAGTGAGCTGCAAACAAGGGTTTGAAAGGGCCCAAGTACATACATTTTTAAGTAAACTGGTGACAGTGTATTGTAGAGATTTACTTTGTTGGAATATGGTATTTGTCAGGGAAAAAAAAAGAAATAACCCCATGGATGGTCTGACTTAATGGACTACTTTTAATTAAAATCAATCCTTATATAGTGCTCATTTTCCATGTACACACAGTATATTTACCTGGACTAAAACCATCCTCATAATACAGTAATTGTTTTATATGAAATTATGAAGTCCAGATCTTTTCAGACATGTATTATTAGCGCAGCCCCCCATGAGATGCACAGGATGTGAGCTAACACATGACATTAACATCGAACAAAGACAACCTTTTTGGACAGATTTAACACACACACACACACACACACACACACACACACACACACACACACACACACACACACACACACACACACACACACACACACACACACACATCGGTTACACACACACACACACACACACACACACACACACACACACACACACACACACACACACACACATCGGTAAGTACTGTAAACCCAGTACTGAGCAAATTACGGTACTTGGAAAATTTTGCAAACTACAATAAAAAGACTCGCTAAATTACCTCAAAGCTATACGTTGGGTTGACTATCTTTGACTAATGCAATGACAGCATTTTATTATTATTAATGTCAGGCAAAAGTGACTGCATTTGCGTGCAATCAATAACCTTTTTCAAACCAGAATACTGGCACTGTTCATGTTTTTAAAGGCCATGTTAATCCGAATACGCTCTTATTTGGATTTTAAAGGCCCACATAAGACCCCTGGGTTACCCATTTTCTAATGCAAATATTGGATCATGGAAACTCAATTGGGTTACTTCCAACGGGGCATTGGTTTGTGTTCTGCGCATCCTCTTGCTGTCAGGAATATCAGACTTTGTAGTACAGGAAGTACTTGGAATCGCATCAACCTCGCCATAGTCATAATTTCTGTACATCAGTTTCTCTCCGGCAGTTTCACATTCTTTTCAGTCTCTATGGCAAAAAATTATATTGTGTATATTGACACATATAAGTGGCAGCTGCTGGTCTTCAATTCTTTTCCATAAATTTGTTTGTGTTCATATGAAAATTCTATCCTCCATTTCTTATCCTCCTCCATGATGTGCAGCTTAGTTTAGTTCAGTTTATTTGGGCATGGTACACCAGACATTTACCTACAATATTGGGTGCATGGTAATGAGAGCCCAAAAGGATTAGGCTGAAGCAGGAGCTTATAGACGCCTACCCCACCACATATTATGCAGTACACGGGTGTGCAGTTTTTCCATTGAGAAACGCATATTAACATGAAAACCAAAAATGCACATGCAGTAGAAAAAAAGAAAATATTTTATCATCCCTGCAGTACAGCTGTCATGTCAGCTGCGCACTCGTACTTGCCATAACACAAGTTGCTAAGATCCCTGGATATATACACATACATAGACGACCAAACATCCACACTCACATTCATACCTAAGGACAATTTAGAGTGTTCCATTAATCTGCCACACATGATTTTGGAATGTGGGAGGAAACTGGAGTACCCAGAGAAAATCCACGCAGGCACAGGGAGAACATGCAAACTCCACACAGGCAGGCCGGAGCCAGAATTGAACCCTGCTCCTCTGCACTGTGAGGCCGGCGCGCTAACCAGTCGACCACTGGGCCGCCCAAAACGAAATAAACTTCTCATGAAATACAAACTATCCCCCCAAATATTTATCCTAACTTCTTCATGTCATCCCTCACCAGTTCTGATATGTGCGTGACCTTGCCTTTTTTTTGTATCTGTTTCTCAAAACCAGGATGTGAACCAGAAATTGCAGGAAGATAACCAGGAGCTTCGGGACTTGTGCTGCTTCCTGGATGATGACCGTCAGAAAGGGAAACGGGTGACACGAGAGTGGCAGCGCCTTGGTCGCTACAGCAGTGGTCTGATGAGGAAGGAGGTGGCTATCTACCTGCAGAAGCTGAAGGAGTTGGAACAGCGGCAGAGTGATGTTATGCGAGATAATTTGGAGCTGAAGGAGGTGTGCCTCATGCTGGAGGAGGAGAGAGCTGCTGCTACTGCTTTAGGGAGTAGTGCCTGGAGGCAAGAGGGGAACGGCTGTAGGACTTCCATTGACAGTCAGAGCAATCTGTCACAGCTCGGGGGAGGGCTACCTGCACCCGGCCTGTTGCGTGATGTTGGTGATGGAAGCAGCACTTCCAGTACGGGAAGCACAGAGAGCCCTGATCTTGCTCAGCAAAAACTCTCACCTTTGGGTTCCAGTGCGAGCCCTAGATCAAGATGTTCTCTCCTGGAACCACCTGACAGACTGGGAGATCTGTGCGATTCCACAGGCAGGAGGCATAGCTCCACTCCAGAATACCACACCTTCCCCCAGCCATGCCGCCCACGAGGTGGCTCCCTCACCAACCTGGACCCTCAAGACTTTGGAGGACACAGTCCGGAAAAACAAAACAAATCTCCCAAAAGGCAAACATGCAATTTCCACCGCAAGGCTTGCAGCTCTGACCTACTTGTCCAGAAGCAGTTATTAATTTTAGGGCAAGTATCACCAGGGTGTGGGAAGAGCATGGCCAAGTCCAATCCAGAGTTGAGTCAAAGACACTGTACAGATAACATTATGGGGGCAAGCTGTGGGAGCCCCGAGGCAAAGAAAACAGTACTCGGAACACCTGAGCATCTAAGGAAAGGGAGAGTGATAATGGGGAGTCCAGAGTCTATACGACCCCTCCATCACTTTAAAGTCAGTCCTGGGCTGGAATACAGTATGGGAGGGAATAGTGGAGGCTCCCCGAACCGGGATGCGGTTCACAGGAGGGCTGCTGGAGAGGAGATGTCGCCCCAACACCAGAGTCTGTACAACGGTAGGCACAGGGTAATATTAATTATGTCTTTAAAATCATATTGTCTTCTTCAACCATGTATCATTTGAAAAATAAATCGATATTCAGCTGCTTATTGCCATGTCCAGGTCTGTGCACAGTGGAAAATCGATTTAACAGACCAGGAACCAATGGACTCTAGATTTAATGGACAGAAAATAGTGTTCCGTCCACTGAAATCAACCCTTTGTGCAGTAGATGTCAGAATCTTGTCATTCCAGAATTGGTGCAGTACAGTATTTACTGGTGCTGTGGCACAATCAACAGCCACTCACTGGTACACGTATTTCCAGGTTGCACCGCTGCTGTCACCAATATACAGTAGAACTGAGCAGGCTAACAGACATGCCTACGCAGTGGCCATATTTAGAGAGGCCCCAATCCCAGAAAAGGCAACGGAAAACATCCACATTAACTTATCATTACCATAAGCATGCAGCTCAAAAGGAGCGTGTCGTATCTACCAATTGATATACAGTATATGGTTATTGTTTAACGGAGCGAGATTGTGTACACATCGCTTGAACATGCTATTTTTGGTACAGTATCCAAGTGTTTTTTTTTTTGTTTTGTTTTTTTACCTCCAGTCATAGTGGAGGTGAAAAAAGCTAACATCGCATCTCATGAATGCGACCAGCTGCCATTATCCACCCGCCACGTACCGGCAATGTCAGGTTGGATACATTTCATATCTTTCCAAACAGTTCCAAGCTCTTTTTCTATTTATTAACAATAATTTGGACAGTACTGTGTTTTTAGGCCGTGAAAAACATACTTCAATTTAATGGACAATGAACCCAAAACAAGTTTCCACTGTGTAACCAAAATTAGGCTTTATCATTGTCATGGGTGTCCCTAAATAATTTTGGGTCAAGTGATAAAATTTTATTTTGGGTTCCACCATACACAGACAAACTGCCCCACGGCAGATTGATTTTTTTTTTCTTAAGCCCCTGTCAGTTATGGCCCCTTAAAATTGTCATTCCTTTTCTCGACCTTACAGCTCCTCTGATCACAATGAATGAATGAAATCTCCAGTATACATTGTAATTGTGATCGATTGAAATATCTCCATCCAACCCGCAATGCACGGACGTCATGACACAAATAGACTTCATTTCCGCTTCTTACTTTCTACTGTCAATAAAACACATAACGCATAACTGACTTACTCACCGGACTGATGATACCCATCTCTGGTAAAGCTGTGAAACACACGTAAATAAGGAAATTCATACAGTGTCTCCCGATGAAGTCACCGAGGGGGCAGCATCGAGAGATTATAAAGAGATGAACCTGGAATTGGGCCTTACGGACACCTCAACCGAGTTCATAGCTTGTAGAAAACTTACATCAAAAACTGAAAATACTCTTATGGTCAGGTAGGAATAAACCCAATTATAAACAAAGGTCATTGTTGATCAATTGTGTTGGTTGGTGTGTAGCGTTGTGGCGATTAATGAGATGTTTGGCTTGTTGTTTCTGTCTGTGTGGATGAATGCTGATTAATATTGGGGAAAAATAGGTTATTGGTGAGGATAAGTGGTTCTGAAAATGGATGGATGACTGCACACAGAAAGAAGTCAGAGAAAACAATTGCCTGTGATAATTAAGAGTCGACAATTTGATTGAGCGAAGGTTTCATGTTGAGATAACACTTGCATTGCAAGTACACTTTTGCATTTCATCTCTTTAAGGTGAAATTGGCATTTTTACCCAATTAATACACTTGCCAGGTTTCTTAATGACATGCCTTTGTCAACATGCTCCAAGGATCAAGAACTCCAGGACACTTTTCCCACTTTTTTTGGGGAGGTTTCTTATTTACAGGGAGTTTTTCCTTGCCTCTGTTGCCCTTAAGTGACTTGCTTATGTGATGTTCACTTGATCTCTGAAGAAATGAACGCGGTTGCTCTTGGCCTGCTCAATGTGTAAAGTTTATTTGGTAAAATAAATTCACAGGGTTGACAGACTGTCGCATGGACCAGAGTCCACTTCAAGGTTTTTTTCATTTACTTTTCTGTCAGACTGTTCTGGTTGTCAGATCACAGCTCCTTCTCTCTTTTTGAAGATGACTTTGAGTCCAGCATCCAGCTTCACACAGCTTGTGATCCACTTCGGTCTGGCAGCCACACTTCTTAATTGATTCCATCTCTCTTTTTCTTGTACCTCTCCATGAAATGTTACCTTAATTTAATTATAGTTTCCTATGAGACTTTGACTTTCTCAAAAGTCATGTTGTCCGGGGATTTATGGACATAGATTTCTTCCCCCCACCGTTTCAGGCTGTTCCTTGTGGTTGTTCTACAATCACTTTCTGCCATCTTGAGCCATTTAATGAAACAGGGTATGTATTTTGTTTGAATATCTTTTAACTGTACTTCATTACTGTACTTGATTTCAGTTTTAAAATTCCAGAAATCCAATAAGAGGATTCGTAGTGCTTCCATCAAACCTACCATTATCAGTTTCACGGACGATTTAGGAAATGAGAAAGACCTCTTTTTTTTTGTCATTCATCCACTTAAAGGGGCCAGGCTTGTTTCTCTGAAACGACCTTCATTATCTTGATTTCTTTAAGATAATGTGTGTTTGCTTTTACATTCACAAATTAATCACTGCTATTCCCCACAGTATGTAGAGATGTGTAAGTCTGTGTGAGGTTGTGTGGCATGTGTGAGAGCAGTGTGTGCGGCATTAGGCATGTTTTGAAGTTGCCTTTGACTAGGGCAATAAGGGTGTGTCCATAAGTTCATTGTTTCTTTTGCTGACCTGGCATTTCACATCTTTAATTTGTTATATCAATTGGTCACCTCTTACCTTGAACATCAGTAGTACACTTTGGTCACGATGTATTGTATTGAATTGTATTTCAATTGATTTGTGGATACAGATTTTGAATGGTAAATGAGTCAGTGTGATGCAATTCAACCAAAACCAAACCACCAAAGAATATCAAGACATAAAAAAAAACATTTATTAAAAACAGAAAAAAGAATTAGTATACGGTAAGTAAAATTTTTTTTAATTGTGCACAAAATGAACCAGCAGTGATGGCCAATTGGGCGTGTCATAACTAATTGACATGTTGAGTCAGGCGTGTCTTAACCTCCTTGGCAGAGGCTCTGTTGAACCAGTGAGACTGATTCACTGAACCCCTGGGTTTCGATCGAAGCCAGGTTAAGACCCACTGATTTAGAGTGTTCCGTTAACCCGTCATGCATGTTTTTGGAATGTGGGAGGAAACAGGAGTACCCGGAGAAAACCCACAGAGGCATGGGAAGAACATGCAAACGCCTCACAGAAAGGCCGGAGCAACTATTCGCAGCACTGGTTTTTCTGAGAATGTCTTCCATTAACTGAATTGAAAATCAAAGAGAATCAAATCGATTTTGCAAATCTGAGTCGATATTCAGCCCTAAAAGACAATGAGAGCCTGGAACATATGAAACACAGTCATGAATAATGAAACGAAAAGCGTCAATGACAAAAGTTGGACAATGGATTCAACAAATTAATTCTGTATTAATTCTAATATTTAAGCTAAACTAAAGTGCTGGATGAGCAACAGGAAAAGGATGATGCCTAGAACACAAATCACAACCGGGATCTTACCTCCACGAGTTAAGAAATATCAAGTAACAGAAGATAGGAGAGGTAACCATTCCCAAACAACAAGCACACGATAAGACGGATACAAACACGAAAACAGATACACAACAGGTCACTTGCGAGGCAATAAACAAGAAATTGGTGCCAGGCTTTGGATACAATGCTGATTGTAACAAAAAGCTGGCGCATTGAAAGAAACTCTGCCCACCAAAGAATATCAAGGAGTCTCAGGAAAGATAGACCAAACAGCAAAACAAGCAGGTGGAGAAACGGGATCATGACAGCATTTTTCATGAGTGTATATTCAGAAAAGACACATGCAGAGTCAAGGCCAGATAGAAAGATGAGAGGTCTCAAATTTTGCAGTAGCAGGCAGGCTTAGTTAAAGCCCAGTGCAGTCAGCAGCAGCAGCAGCAGCCAGCAGCAGCAGCAGCAGCAGCAGAAGTCATCTTGCAAATAGTTTCAGCATCACCTCCATAATAAGTCTTGCTATCTGTGTTTGTAAATCAAATAAAGAAGCTAAAAATATTGTTTCAGGAGCTTTGGGAACTCATTCTCTTAACACACACACACACACACACGCGCACACACACACACACACACACACACACACACACACACACACACACACGCACACACACACATACACTCACTTCTGTGCCAATATGGAAAATGGTTCTGAGAGAAGTGCTTCACTTCCTGAACACTACAATATTGCTTGACCTGCACAACTCTTGGGGGTCAGTTGTTTATGTACATAGGCTCCTTAGTATGCAACACGATAATTTTAGCTGCGGGGTACATAAAACAAGCATCCATCCATCTTTTATACTGCTTGATCTCGTTAGGGCCGTGGGTGAGCTGCAGCCAATCTTAACTGAGATTGGGGAAGAAACTCCAGACAACTTGAACTGGTCACCTGTCAATCATAGGATGTGTATAAACCAGGCGTGTCAAACTCATTTTTGTCGCGGGCCACATTGTAGTTACGGTTTGCCTCGGAGGGCCGTTATGAATTTTGGGAAACCATAAAAATGTTTAATCACCTCCCCATATTACACACACAGCGCACAACAAATTGATGAATAATTAGTTTTAAAATAAGAAGTCAAGAATAATGAATGTTATTGTGGAATACATATGGCAATTTGAAATTTTAGTTCAGACTTTAGCAAGCATCATGGAACATGACATGCTTGATTTGCTTTCGCGGGCCACAAAAAATGATGTGGCGGGCCAGATCTGGCCCCCGAGCGTTGACTTTGACACCTGTGATATACACAAACAATCATTCAGCCTCAAATTCACACCAATGGACATTAGAAAGTCTTCACCTAAAACTTTCATGCATGTATTTGGAACCTCGGAGGAATTGGAATAAATTCACCAGAGAAATCCCACGACCGGCCTTAAGATATGAAGATTGAATTTCCTTCTGGAAATGTTCTGTTTTGTTTTCGTCGCTTCTCCTTTGCCCGTCACCTCCTTTGGTTGGAACATGTTTCCCAGCAGTAACCAGACTTGACACCAGCCTTAATTAGGCCAACTATAATCAAAATGCAGCATTTCAATTAGGCCACATGCAACTTGTTTCTTTTTTTGGATTGAAACCGTTTACCGGTACACAAAATCAAGTGCTCATGTGACTTGCAAGTGAGGCCTCTTTTTTTGTTACGAAAGGGACCAATAAGTTGGTGGAGCTTATGAATATTTAGCAGTGGAGTCATACATCATTGGCCAGGGGGGTTGCTGGATAATAAGATGATATCTTACAGTGAGATAAGGATACACAAATAAAGGCAGCCTCGGTAACATCAGCATCCGGTGTTATTACATTGCCCATGAGGTTTCCAAATGTCAGAGTTGGCAGTTTGTGTGGACTTGCTACATTGAGCTTTGTTTGCAATGTTTCTAGTGGGCTTGTGTTTGCAATGTCATTTTGTGCGCGTGCGTCTGTGAGCATTTGTGTGTATAATCAGATGCCCTGTGTTAAGTACCGCCCTGCTAAATAGGCCAACAGCTGCTTCCCTGGTCATTTATCCCGAGTCAGCTTTGATGCCCCCTTTTTGTCCTTCCATTTCAACAAAGGCACACCTTGCAAAATGAATATGTTAATACACCACGACCATTGTCGCCTGACAAAACGCACACGTTTTAAATCTTATTGAAGGGATGTGTGCACAGAAACTCAAGTGCCCAGGTGAATGCTTTAAGTACCTTTATACATAATGTATACCAATGAAAAAAAAGTGTGTGGTTTATGTGTGCGGTATGGTGTATATTGTCCAGCATTCGGTGAAGCCAGTGTTCTGACCTTTGGTGTGAGTGTTTCAAAGCCAGATGAGTGGCGGTGATGTGTGTGTTTGTGTGCGTTTCTGTGTGTTTGTGTGTGTGTGTGTGTGTGTGTGTGTGTGTGTGTGTGTGTGTGTGTGTGTGTGTGTGTGTGTGCACGTGCGTCCACACTTTGATAGAAAATAGATCTTCTCGAATTCAAGATTCTCTGTCTGTCCATGCTCGTTGTCCTCTTTTCCAAAAAATGAAAATGCAGAACGCTCAAAAATAGGCACACAAGCTGTACACTTGCACACTCTTCCTTCATCCATCCACCCTTGTCCATCATTCTCGCTGACATGCACAGTGAGTGAAGTGAACCAGAGGACACAGCTGTGAATCAGCCCACAGGCTTGTCTTCCAGCGTGCGCGTGTGTGGGTGCGTGTGTGTGTGTGTGTGCGTCTGTGTGCAGAGCCCTCTCAGCTGCCTGGGCCACTGGGATGCTCCTATAGAGGTACAAGCAGGTCACTGTGTGAATGAGGGAATATTGACTTTCGGAGGAGGAGAGCAGGGATATTTGAAGCTGCATAGTTTCTGTATGTCATTGCAGAGGATGGATGCATGGATGCTGTTCTTTCTCTCAAACACACGCAAACACACACACACACACACACACACACACACACACACACACACACACACACACACACACACACACACACACACACACATACACACACACACGTAGCAAAGTCCCTGTTTTGTGACAGGAAATGTGCCTGGTATAGCTGGCTTGTGGTGCCCATGAAGCTTGTCACGTGGTCGAGTTCACAACTGCGTCGAGAAGAACAGACAGTCTAAGAATAGCACAATTTTTCATCACATTTTGACACCAGCAATAGAAATACAGGTCGTCCATTTGAAGTCTTACAATTTGTGGCGAGGAGACGTTGGATTTCCAAATACTTACTGCTCTGCATCATTCTGAGAAGTGATTATTTACAGTTTGTTACACTATTGAACATTAGGAGGGGCCCTCTCAGCATGACGGACAACACTATTGCAGACTAAAAAAAAACACACAGAACATTTATATCTTTCTGGAAAGGAATACAGTAATTTAATAATACAATATAGGATCAGATTATTGCATTCTGTTTATAATGAAGCAGTCAGTGTTCTGTTCTCCTACCACAACACTTCATCGATTTGTTGGGAGGTGAAAAACTGTTCACCATTGCTAACTTGCAGCACAGTTGCAATTGTTTGAGATGAAATGCATCTGAGTTAGTTTCCAAATAAGATGTTTACAGCCAGAACAGACTGACACAGAGTGACGCATCTATGGGACTGTCACCAAAGGAAAAGACAGGAAAGGAAGACTTGGAGTGAAAATTGCTGCCAGTGGCTGTCCAACTGTGACAGGAATCAAGGGGAATTGACAGAAAAAGAAAGTGTTTCATATGAACAACTAGAGCGGCACGTTTCACTCTGCGTGTACCACGTCTCTCTGACAAGGCTGGATTTGTAACCATTCTTGGTATCCTAACTCTAATGATTGACATTTAAACAAATATTTCTGCAGTCTGCATTGATTCATGAATAATAATGTCATCAATGCTGTCATTGATAATCTTTTTTTATTTTTTTTTTTAGTTCTGATATCCGCTGGCTGCTGCACCAACTCCTGCAGGAATGTAAAGCTTTGGGACAGGTGAGACTCTCGCATATATTAAGAAAAAAAAAAGAAGGTACAAATGTCTTGTTTTCAAGACAGATGAGTTATATACATTAAACATAGTATTGCATATGTTGAACCTATAGAATGGTGTTTTAAAAAAATAAGAAAAAAGACACATTCAGGTCCATTCTGTGGAGAGCAATATTTACATTCATTTGAGTCACATTCTCCCATCGATCCATCCATTCATCCATTTTCTGAGCCGCTTATCTTCAAAGAGAGTTGCGGGCGTGGTGGAGCCTATCCCAGCGGTCTTCGGGTAGTAGGCGGGGGACAGCCCGAACTGTTTGCCAGGCAAACGCAGGACACACATAGACAAACAATCATTCATGCTCACAATCACACCAGGGGACAATTTAGAACATGGGTTTCCAAACTCTGTCCACAAGGGCAAATGTCCTGCCTGTTTTCCATCTCTCCCTGCCGAAATACACCTGATTCAAATGATCAGCTCCTAATCATTTGAATTAGGTGTGTTGCAGGAGGGAGTGGTGGAAAACAGGCAGGACATCAGCCTTCGAGGACCAAGTTTTGACACCCCTGATTTAGTGTTCCATTCACCTGCCATGCATGTTTTTTGGAATGTGGGAGGAAACTGAAGTACGTGGAGGAAACCCACGCAGGCACGGGGAGAACATGCAAACTCCACACAGGAAGGCCGGGGCCTGGAACTGAACCCTGCACCTCTACATGTGATGTGGACGTGCTCACCAGTCGCCCACCGTGCCGCGTGTTTAGTAAACTTATTTTCAGTAATTAATACATCTTGGATCAGCATTTTTTGGGGGGTGGGGGTGAGACCATCCAAGAAATGTGCCTAGTTGAATCTCAAAAGAAGTTCATCTGTCAAAGCAACTAGTATGCAATTATTAGGGATACACAACAGTTTTTTTTTTCACCGATATTGATGAGCAATAACTTCCTGTTTCTCCACATGAAACCAATATGTTTTATTTTTTTATCACAAATAAAATAAATCTGTGCAGTTTAAAAGAATAAACCGATTTAATCCCACTTCCAACTAATGGAGTGGGGTCGAAGGACGATATAAAAAAGTGGTCAGTGACAGGCTACAGTCTCATGTTTGTTATTTTCTGAACTCTTGTGACTTCAGACTGTGAGCCGATGAGCAATCTCAAAAGCTCTGATGCGTATCAGTGTCTAATAAATAAATAAAATGATTAGAGGAAGATGTATGTTATGTATTTCCATACAGAGTGAGAGGAGGATTTTTTTTTCTGGATGGTTGGCTGCGTGGCGGGGCGGCCGAGGCGATGCCATGGGCACCCGCTCACGGTTTGCCGCGAGCTGGATGGAGGAGCCATTTACCCCAATACTGGCATGAGGCTGACTGCCTTCTGATGGTGTGTCGCAGATGGCAGTTGGTGTGGTAGTGGTGGCGACTGGGACGTCAAGTTGACCTATGCACGGGGTTCTTGCTGACCGGCCGAAGGAGGGAAATGCAGAGCGGCATTTTCATTCCATTGATAAAAGCAATAAGTCCAAGTATTGTTCGCACATGACTGTTTTTCATTGAGCAGTATGCACACGGTTCATTATCAGGGGCTCCTGTCCAGACTCCATTCCTGGCTGATTCCATTCAGCGCAAGTCACCAAAGTCAGGACAGAATATGTACAGTAATTATATTGTGCAAAATGGTTCTTGCAGTGATGCAAAGTTCAACAATATATATTGTACATATCCAGAATTCTAAGTATATTTTAAAGAAATAAATAAGTAGTTGACAGAAAAGAGAGGGAAGAAGCAGCGCACATAAAAGTTGATCATGTGTGTGAACTAGCATGCAGGCGAATGACCATTTATCAAATCCCTCAAAAATTATCAGGTTAATTTTCACTATAGCAGTCGATATAGAAATTATTGTGACTGGCTTATGTGAAGAAATTTTCGAGGAACAAAATAAAAACATCCGTCCATCCATCCATCCAACCACCTATCCATCCATCCATCTTTCCATCTATCATCTCAATTCGTGTTCGTGCTGGAGGCTATCCCAGCTGACTTGGGGCAGTAGGCTGGGCCATTCACACTCAAAATCCCACCTAAAGACAATTTCGAGCAGTGGTGGCCAACCCGCGGCTCACAAGCTGCATGCGGCTCTTTGGCTGGTTCAATGCCGCTCCCGGGATTTCATATGACCAGCGTCATAAACGCCTCGGTGGTGGTGCTGCCATTGAAACAATGGCGCTAAGTACAGCAGAACTTGATGTCAGCCGATCATCAATCCTGTTACTTGATTGACATACAGGGCAACCAGTCAGATGACAACTGAATTTTGACCTTGATGTCACCGCTCATGCGCAATGGCGCTAAGCACTAAACCAGTCAGCAAATTACCTCTGATTTTAAGGCAGGGAACCCAACTATGTTGATTACGATCGACCAGGAACCAGCAGACTGGTCCCAAGTCGACTGCGAGGGGGGTGGGAGGAGTAAATTGGGGGGAGGGGGAACATTTGTGTGTCTGTGTGTTTCGGTTTCGTTCATGTGAGGGGCCGTTCCAGCTGTTGCTTATCGTGGCGTGCGTGCGTGCGTGCATATGCGTGTGAGTGCATGATTGGCGCCTGCGTGCATGTGTGCATGACTGTGTATATGCTTCCACATGCACGATCGGGTCGATCACGGGAGGTTGGTCGCTTCAAAAGTCAAAAAGGTTTGCCCTATCTGGCAAGCTGACCCAAGTAGTAAGTAACTGCTGCAGCTCGCGTGCAGACAGTGTCTGCTTCGAGTGGCAACAACGGAATACAAGCCAAATTTAAAGACCATTGTTCAAGAGAAGAAATGCCAGAAGTCCCTGCACTAAGGCGCTTAGCAACATGCATAGTAAGAGAAAAACGTTCTTATATTTCTGTTTGTGGACTTGGTTGAACTGAGAGTTTGTGTGTGTTAGACAGTGCACACAATATTCATTGTTGAAAATGACTCACCTGTGGTCTTAGTACCGGAGGAGTCAGTTTCTGTCATTATGATGTTGGTGTGTGATATTTACAATAAATGTTCCTGAGCAGAGGTCTGTGTGTGTGTGTGTGTGTGTGTGTGTGTGTGTGTGTGTGTGTGCGTGTGTGTGTGTGTGTGTGTGTGCGCACATGTGTGCGCGCGCCACTACGAGAGGTCACCCTGGTGTGACTCTGGTTTTAATGCATTGACCGCCGGTGAGTGATGGTCGGGGGTTAATATTTTATGATGAAGCATCTCCTAATGGATAAATAAATCAGCCGTCATCTTTACCACGGGAGAAAGGATCCTGGCATTTTGCTGACCCCACACATGAAAACCTCACAACCTACACATTACATGCATGCATATGCAGTAATTGCCCTGTTTCCCTCCTTCTCTTCCAGCTTTGGTGGCTCCTGACCGCACATGCCTCTTGATCAGATGCTGCTTGACAACACACACTCCAGAGAGAAAGAGGGGGAGAGAGAGGTTATTAGCACATTTATGGATGGAAGGACACGTGGACACAAGTGAAGGGGTAAATGGTCACGAAGTTCTTAATCAATCAATGGAGGTTGAAGCAACTGCTGCCCTACTGGCTGCTGCTGTGTATTTCTGTTAACCACTACAAATGACTGAAATCATTTTATTTATTTGGTTTGTGTATATTTTGAGACACCAACTTCTGAATTGCCAAAGTTAAGAACCTGCAAACAATGAAAATGCTCATAATAGAACAGTTCTACATCTGTGTAAAAATAGAGAGTGAGTACTTTCTCGGGGAACACAGTGTCACACAGTAGGACATTCAAGTAATGATAAAATTGTTGTTCTGTTGTTACGGCTGGCATTAAAGCACAAGGAGTTACACAATCATGATTATGTCATTGTTATGGTACGTACACACCAAATCCGTTGCGAGCCTGACTGGCCGTTGCGAGGCAAAGCGCGAATAGACTAAATGAGTGGATTTTTGGTGCGCGTGCACGCTCCCAGCCACTCCAAACACGTCATCCCCCACGCCCCCTCACGCATCCGCACCCCACCGCACAAACTGTATTGACTTTAATTGAACTGCACTCGCAACGGATTTGGTGTGCACATAGCATTAGGCAAATGGTTCACGTTGTAGCTCACTTGTACTCTGCTGGCCGAGACTCAATTCTACGTCAATGCCCCTTTCGCGAATTTTCATCACTAATTTTAGACTTATTTTGTAGCTTGCGTCGACCACCGCGAATCTGTTCAGTATTGGCTGCACTCGTAGTGCAAATAATAATGATAATAATCGTCATCATAAAGCATCAGGGGTTACGCCAAAGGAAGCTGCGGCTGCGACTCTCATTGAAGTGAATGTGACCATGCGCTCGTGAAAATATTTCCATCAAGTTTCAAGATTTACAATAAATATTGTTTTTAGAGTTGAGAGCACTTTGGCTGGTTCTACGCTAGTGTATTTTAATGCGGCCTTCAATATCGGCCTAAATATCTCCCTAATTTTGCAGGATCGGTCCAATAGAAGCCATTTTTTAATATCGGGGCCGATATTTGCGTACAATCTGAAAATCTATCTTTCCCGGATGCGTTGATGTACAGAACAGATTGGTGTGTTTATTTAAATTCCTCAAAAATAAGGATCCGGATTGACATTGTAAAGAGCCAAGTATCACAACACTAACACTCGTCTCTACAGTGAGCATTTTAAAACAGATAGTTTTGTAAACTTTGACCGGAGAAAACATGGCGTCACGTATAGGTGTTTCGGTTGTGTGAATGTGGCAGTGACGACTGTCTGCCTAATGGGCCTCATCCTACCATCCCGCTGTCATCATGTGTCATGATGGATTGTGCCATTGAGCTCTATTTTCGTGCCGAGCATAAGTCTCATGCGAGTTGCAGTTTAAATGTACACCGATGCAGGGTAGACCTTGTTTTGTTTTTCTCATAGTGGATTTAAACAGGGAAATTTGCGTCATTGTGGGCTTGAATATAGCTAACGTCATCTGTCAGCAATCAAAGCAGCGCCTCTTTTATCCTTTAAAAGCAGCGCGTGAGGATCACATGATAGTCCATGACACAGCTGAAGAAACTGACTTGCTCTAGTCCTGCAATCATTCAAGGCACTGCATGCTGTTGCCATATTTATGAACGAAATACATTCGTCACAATGTTAACGTTGTTCCAGCAAGTGTAAAGTTCAGATGAATATCTGCGACCAAAATTTCAGATGTGCTGGACGCATGTCAAAAGAGCTACAACCTCTGTGTGCCATAACGCAGAGATGAACCAAATTCCCAAACAGGCACATTGAAATGCACCATTATGTCCCAACAGCAAGTGTAAGTTTGCTTGTGTGCTTATTATAGTCATAGTCCACATGAACTATTACATTTTGAATTGAGCCGTATGTCTAGAAGCTAGATGAAGTAGCACCCATTTTCCTGGTCATGAAATTATTTATGTTTTGGGTGAAGCACCACAACTTTAAATTTGCTGCCAATTTTAGCCTTTATAGGGGCTTCAAACTTATTTATACTGAGTATATGGATGCAGAAAGACAGTTAAGTATTCTTTGTAATTTGAGGATGAATGTCTAGATTTTAATAAAATATATGCTATCATGTAAAAGCAATACAAAAGAAATTCATCCTTATATTCAACCTCAAAGTGGTATCGCAACAATGTATATCCAAAGCCATTATTTTAGTTAATGACAAAACAGGCATTAATCATCCAAAAGTGTTCAGAAACACCTCTCTATTAAAATACAAATACATACACACAACCAAACATCATGGTGGAAAATGGGAACGGTCATGATGCTTTATTCGTCACATGTCCAATGTACAGTGCTCCCGGCGGAACACCTGAGGACTGAATCCAGATTTTTTTGTTCAAGTAACAGACTGGAAATCAAAATGATGCGATTTAAGTTGTACGAGGAACCAAAACACACCGAAAAAAAATCTACATGTACATGAGAAGAACCGATTCCCCACAAAAAGAGCATCAACATTGATCGGTTAAGACCAGTGAGAGCTGGAATCAAGAATTTTTTTCTGTAAGGTAGCAGAGAAAATCACTTTACTGTCACGCTGCGCTTTGGAATTGTGATGAACAAAATCTGACAATTCAACTACACAACAAGAACTTTGTAACAAAAATTTGTTTCTGGATCCTGTGTGGTTTGTAAAGGGAAGCTCAGGTTCCGCAAGAGCTTTTCTGAAGACTTTTTTTTCCATGCCTGTCAACACATATAAAAATAAGCAAGAAACAAATACATTAGGATTATATGTACATCCTATATAACCACTTATTCTCATGTCTCAGTTTGACTGAAGAATGAAATGAAGAGAAATATGTTATGATAGCAATAGTATTACTAGTCAACAGTAGTCCTGTAAATCTGTAATTTTATACATATATAGTGTACCATAAATTATTTTTGACTCCTCACCATATGATATTGCTGTAATTATGATATCCCAAATTGTATGTAGAAACCAATAAAGTGACTTTACAGAAAACATTGTTTCTGTTTAGTGTATTTGTGTTGCTTTCTTTAGAACGGTGGAGTCAAACATACAGCCCGCGGGCCGGAACCGGCCCCCGAGGAGGTTCAATCAGGCCCGCAGGATAATTAAAAAATGAAAACATGTATAAAAGACACTGTAAGAATATTTTTAATAAGATGCATTTCATGGGTTATCCGCTAGGGGGAACACTGTTTTCTCTTTCGTTTGTAAAGTGTAGGCAGGGATTAAATTTTGATTTTATATGCACATGTGTAAATGGTTTTTAAAAATCCTTTCTTTATAAATCTCGTTTAATGCATGACTATATTTTTCAATACCAATTACTTGTTAAAGTTTTGTGCCTTTGTACAATCAGTGTTCTTGTGCTTCACTATACCCAAACAAAGGAAAGACATGATATTTTGGTTATTTATAGCAGAGTATGGTATAATTTTAATGGTCCGGCCCACAATGTGAAATGAGTTTGACACCCCTGATTTAGAATCCATCATGTCTCCTCCTCTGTGTTCCACTGCGTGGCCCCTCCCTCTGTTCTGTTTTTGGTTGCCTATGCTTTAATTCAGTGTGGGCTGGGTGTCTCCCTAATCATTGCACCTGTCTCACCGACACACCTGCCAGTCTTCACCTCATCAGCCACACTCGCCTCTGCAGCATAAAGGCCAGTCTGAAGAGCCACCTTTGCCAGTTCGCTAGCTACCTTACCTGTCATACACGCTGCTGCCCAGCGGTCGCGCTCAGCCCTTCAGTACACCTTGGTTTGGGTTTTCTGACTGCCTTTGGTTCCTGCCTCCTTGACCCGTCCCTCTATCCTGACAATAAAACAGTACCGGCCTCATTGTGTCTGCCTGTGAGTCCTGTGCTTGTCTTCAGCTTAACTTATCAGTCCTGTGTGTATTTTTCAATAGTTTAAATGCATTCTTTCGAGCATAATCTACGCAGCTCATATAGTGATTTAGAAAGTAAGAAAATAAATTACAATTGCTCTTGTTAATTTAATAGAACAGTTGAAAAAGATCACAGAAAAATAGGGGTAAAATGATCGTGTGCGTAAACAACGTTGTTACAGCAACAAGATGAAAATATTGGATGAGATTCATGTCTGCCTGCAGCTGGTGTGTGGGTGGAATATCTAGCTTTTCTATCCGCAGCATTATGACCAGAGGATATTATGCCCCACATCACTGTTTTACTTTGTATATCAACAGATGCAATCTCCATAACTACCATTAGAAAACTCCAATCGTAAAGGTCAACAGACGCAAACCTCTGCCAAGGTGAGAACGTTGTGATCTGTACTTCAATACAAAGAACTACTAAGGGCGGGTTTGATTACATTGTTACATGTATTAAAGAATACATTTTATTAATTAAGTAACAGTCAGAGAGAGATGTCCTTCCCATGTCTCATTGAGAGTTATGCGTTAAGCAAAAACATAACTTTTAAATTGAACTGACCGGTACATAAGCGAAGGGTCCAATCCAATGACTATATGTGAGAAAAACTCATAATGAGTTTAATGTAATGAGTAATGACAATAAATAACTAAAAATAATTTAGGGCCCGATTTTTTTTTTTTTTTTTTGGTGCTAAGGTCAAGTTTAGTGCAGCAAGCTGTCAAACTTTGCATGGATGCCTAGGCCTAGAAAAAAAGTTTTGAACAGCTTGACACATTTAAAAATGGGTGCTTTCCGCTGCTGTCATTGTGATCACAGCCGACTTGAGGCACGGTCTTTGGCATGGCGGAAGGAGAACCTGATGAGACAAAGCGCGCTGCAAGCAGATTGCTGCGGGTGAATGATGTCAAGGGAGGGAGATCAAAGATTTGTGAAGTGGAAACATGGAGACCACCTTTCACCTCAAACGTTCGTGTCCATGTGTGACATTGATTTGAGATAAGCCTGAACTGTGCCATGGAGAACATCATGTTTTACAGGAGCATTCAGAGGAATGCATCTTCCTTCACCTTCGATATGGGTGAGTACACATTTTGTTGTTTTGACATGTTATTAACGGGCGGGCCAGTGGTCGACTGGTTAGAGTGTCAGCTTCACGGTGCAAAGGTGCGGAGTTGGATTACGGCTCCGGCCTTCCTGTGTGGAGTTTGCATGTTCTCCCCGTGCCTGCGTGGGTTTTCTCCGGGTACTCCGCTTTCCTCCCACATTGCAAAAACATGCGTGGCGGGTTAATGGAACACTCCAAACTGTCTCTAAGTGTGAATGTGAGCGCGGATGCTTGTTCGTCTGTGTGTGCCCTGTGATTGGCTGGCAACCAGTTCAGGGTGTCTCCTGCCTTCTGCCCGAAGACAGCTGGAATAGATGGCTGCATGTCACCGCGACCCTTGCGTGGAGGATAAGCGGACCAGAAAATAGATGGATGGATATACTTAACTAAGATTTTCTGCACACTTACAAAGTTGCTAGGACGATAGTGTGGCAAGTGACTCGCACATCGGCCTCGCTGTCCAAGGTGCTGAGTAAAAATCTCCACTCTAACCTGACTGCCAAGACTTTGCATTAGGGATTTTATCAATTCATCCCAATTAATTTGTCGGAATAATTTTCATTAAATTTTTTTTTTCAAATTACATTGCTATTAATGTGTATTGTCTCGACTAAAGGTCTCATGTCACACTTTTTTGTTATTGTTATACTTTTTGCAGCACGCCACATGATTCTTCCGGGCACCAAAACCCTGCAGTACAATTCCTGGTATTAAAACCGTTTAAAGCGCAGCAACTTTACAACCCTTTCAGGGACAGCAGTTTCTACAGTGGACAGCTTGTTTTGATTATGTTTTCAGGCTACAGGGTGCATGAAAGGGTTAAGCAGGACTCTAAAACAAGGGAGTATTATTCTCTCTCCGCTTTACGCTTTTATATTGGGTTTTTTTTTTGTTTATTTATTTTTTTTAATACGAGCACTTACATCATGTTTTAAGACTAGTGTGCCGGCTGTCGTATAGCATTGAAACTATTTAGTTCACATACACTCATCCTAACAGGGAATCAAACCCGAGGCTATATTAACATATTATGGACCAACAAGTGCAGTGCTTAGCTCAACACAACACACACATTCACCACCCTTCTCCGTGATAACGACACATGTCAATTAGCATGGCAACAACAGACAATAGAATATCTTGTCTCACTCTAGGGCTACCTTTGTCCTGTGGTATTTGTGAGGGTTTATCACCTGACTGTTGCTACACATAACGTGATTAATTAGCCTCAATTTAAGTTCATAAACTACAAAGTGACTTGTAGTACCGCTTTTAGTTAAACAATCACCACTAGCATTATACCTGAACTGCTGTTTTGAAATGTTAATTTTCACTGATGTAATTTTGGCGAATAACCAAAGATAGCAATTCCTCTAAAGTGATGCATAAATTCCTGAGAATTTTTGTTTCTGCGCCGAGATGTCAAGATGAAGATGTATGACCCTGGCGAATACATTACTGTATATCTCAGCAGATCCATTCATCGAACCATCCTTTTTCCACGCTGTTTATCCTGTTTGGGCACAAGGTGAGCAGGAGCCTCAGATGACTCCACTTGAAAGCCAAACTGCACCCTGGACTGGTTACCAGTCAGTCGCAGGTCACATCTAGATACAGAACAAACATTCACACTCGACATTCACATCGTCACAGAAACGGAACTGAAATCACGCTGTCTGCATCAAAGTCAGATGCATGTGTCACAACAAGAGCAATTCCATACACTTTGCAAACATACTGTCTGTATTCATAAATTCTATCATAATCTGATTGAATACAGTAAAAATACTTATTTAATACCTATTTTGAATTAAATGCCTCTAAGGTCAAACAGTTTGTATTCCAGAAAACATTTTCCAGAAAATGTTTGTTGAAAAACATCGATGTCTTGGATGGAAGGTAGCTCAGTTCCACATTGATTACAGTTTAGCCTTAAACTGAAGGATTTCACAAAATGGAGGATAATGTTATAGTTCAAGTCAGCAGCTATATTACTGGCATTTAGCAAAGACCCATTGCAGAACTAGACAACCAACAAACCTCAAAGAAGGATGAATCCATCATGTCGAACCACGCTCAACCCTGCCCTCAAGATTTGAGTTCTGACCTCCGGTATGGTCAGAAGTAAAAAATGCTTCTCAATAAAATATAGCCAAAGAGACAATAGATCATCAGCATTAAGTCGAAATAAAATATGGTGTGGAGGCAGGCCTGGATTGAGTAATCATTTTATTCCCACTGGGCCGGGCTACAGTATATGCTGTTTGGGGGCCTACTCTTATAACCCTTTAATTTCTTAAAATTCACTGTGTGTGTGTGTGTGTGTGTGTGTGTGTACTGTAGTACTGTATTGGCTACCAACCTGTGCTACTGACGGTGTCATCAAGTTACAATAATTTAATCCATTACTAGAAACAACAGCACTGTCACTACATCCCACTCTGTCTGTAGAAAACGACGTACTGAAGAGGAATAGCAAAATCAAGAGTTATAACGACGGCAAAGCGTGATTGGAAAGCCTCCTCCGATTACTGTTGTGTAGTAACATCGTAACTGTTGCCGCGAAGTGGTGCGCTGGAATTCGTGTGAATTGGTTTCCAAATAAGACCATGAACAGGAAGTGCAGTGTAAAATGCAGTAATCTTGCTATCTGAACCGCGTTTGATAAATCTATGTTGTTCAGTGTAAATTGTCTTATCGGATGTTATGGATACTTGTCTTTTGGTCCCTTTTCCTCTTTTGCCCAATTTAACTGTTTATGTTCTCAGACTTGTTCAAATAAACGCTGACCGTGATCTTGTAAGCACATTCAATTGTGAATTTGATTTTTCATCACGTTCAATGTAAATGTCATCGACCACAATTTTTTGAGTGATACACTAATTAGGATAACATTGTATACCAACGTTTCAAACTAAAGTGGGCCAGTGTGAGGCCTGAAACGTCAGCGCTGAAAAGGAGTACCACTCCTTCCATGCATGTGGGCTACACTACAAAGTCAACTCACCGGGGTTTACTGTGAAACATAAGTGATCATTTCAAAAGACAAAAAAGTTATTCCCAACATACATAGTTGAGGTAATTAGATTAATTTTGTCGACAGCAAACGACCATTCTTTCTTGCCAAATCCCAAATTATGGTCAACATGTCCTGTTTTCTTTTTTTCTCTCTTTGTTCTGAATGGTCAGTCAGAAGTGGCAAATGGGCAGCGAGGCAGAAACTACATGTAAGCACACATCCCTAACAACACAAGTATGTGCGCACACACACACACACACACACACACACACACACACACTTTTCTGCCTCACTGACTGCACTTGGTCTTACATAATAGACTACTGAGCCATGATCAACTGCTGGCAACATCACAATGTAGCCTCTTTGCTCAAATTTAGTAGGATGTTGTTAAAAAAGTGATGCACTCCATTGTAGAAGACAAATCATTTTTAGGCATGCCTGTAATCAGGTAGACTTGTTGTGGATTTTGTGAACATAACATTCAGTGAAAGCAAAACTAAACCTGTTAGGGGGGAAAAAATATGGTATTCAACACAGTTTGAGAGCTAGAATGCAATGGTCTACCAGTTTGATAAACACTGAAATAATAAATTTGCTCAAAAGAGCTTTAATTATGTACTTTTATTATTAATTAATGATATTCAGCAATGAGACGAGATTGATCGTCTCAATTATTAACAATTATATTAATTATTGTCAGTTCTATCAGGCAATCAGGACAAATCAAGACAAACTTTAAAACACAAGAGAGGCTCGGAGTCAAGCGGAGTTGTCTTTTAACTTGTGCACAAAGAGAGTGAACGAGCTCCAAACACCCCTGGAAACACTTTGCTCGTCTACCCCCTTTTATTGTCACAGGGAGTGTCCTATCACACAAACTTCTAAAGGGGTGGGGAAACACAAAATGTATTGGAGGAGTCATACTGACGGTTTGTTTGTGATAGCAGCTGTGGATGCATCACAGGCATGCTGTCCTGAGCCTGGTATCTTCAAGGCTGCGAACGGGAACAAGCTGGTCTCTTCAGAATGATAAACTATTTTGATTGCATGCTATGTACGTAAATTAAGTCCTTGCAGTGTCACACGAGTATGTTCATTATACTGTACTTCTAAAAGCAGTGAGCGAAAAATTATATACAATTATTCTTACATTTCCCTCCTCTTTATCGCTATCTCCACTAATTCTCTCGTCACTAACAATATCTTCAATCATGATTTCCATTTGCAAGATAATTTTTATATTAGCAGATAGTTTTACACTTGAAGGAAAACACAAGTTAAAAACTCCTTTCTCTTGTTTGTGTCTATAGTGTGGAGTTAAAACTATCATAATCTCCTGGATCTGGAAAGAGATCTGAAACTCCAACACAGTTATCATCATCAATATTATCGTCATTTCCCATTATTATTAATTTAGCAGTTCCTGGGGGTCATCTCTCTTACCTTATGCAGTTGTGATTTAATGTTCTATCAAAGTGCGAAGACAAGGTAAGCAGCAGCATCCACAGAGCATGAGCAAGGCTGAAAAAAACAATGCTATGACAAGGTCGGAAACAGACTATATATATATATATATATATATATAGTGGAGATTGGTCTTATTAGAACGTGACGATGCGCAGACACAGCACTACACACAAATCTGTATGTCTATAAATAGCTGTAGAGTCTGTATATTTAAAAATAATCACTTACACACACCATGGGCTACCTGTTGCCCGTGGGCCTCATGTTGGTGACCACTGTTCCTCTATATTATAAAACACATCTGCTATTTTAACATCCATCCATTTTTTTTTTTAATCCTGTTTATCATCATTAGGGTTAAGACCCTTTGGACTGGTTGCCAGCCAGATGCAGTCTATAACTGTCATTTTTCCAATATTTTTTATTTCCACCCCTTTGTGTATATGAAGACTCAATCAGAGAGGCACTTGTCTGCAAGTCTTGTCAACAAGCATTGTTCATTCTCAGAGGCTTAAAAAAACAAAACAAAAGCTCTTTCAACTTATAGCCCACATTGGATATACCACAGAAGACAGTGTCTGTTCTAGCTCCTCATCATATCTTCGAACCAAAGAATGACAAGCCACAGCTTCAGGGAATGTGCAAATTGCATGCTTACACATGCGCTTGTGTGCGTGTGTGTGTGTGCGTGTGTGCGTGTGTGCGTGTGTGTGTGTGTGTGTGTGTGTGTGTGTGTGTGTGTGAGAGAGAGAGAGAGAGAGAGAGAGAGAGAATAACTAAATGTGTGAAGACGTATCTACTTGTCAGTCTGGGTCAGGAACTTGCATTGACAGGCTACAGTCTCCGCTCCCAAAACCGTAACTGTTGGCAACAAATATGATTTGATGTGCTGTGATGATTAGATGTCAACTATTCTGAATACTAAAAGATATAATTGGAGGGCAGTATTGAACAGAGCGGCCATGTTAATCTCGAGCTAAATATATGAATTAATCACAGTGCCCCAAAGAAGGTAATGTTGGGGCGAGTGGCCTTTCTCTTCCCCCGCGTGTTCGTTAATTTCGGATGATGAGGATGTTGGTTATCCAAATACAGGCTGGAGACGATGAACAGTACCTTCGAAGGTTTTATTTTTATGTTCTGCAGTTTACGAATTGATTCGGGCTCCTGAGAGTTTCAGATTTCGTCAGGAAGCCCAGAAAAAAAATACAATCATGAGAATATATAGAGACAATATGATAATGAGAGGCGGGGAGTTACGCCTCCATGCAAATCACAGAAACAAAGAAAGGTCGATGCAATTCGATCTTGGCATGTTGGGAAAGTCCAGACCTCTCCTGCTGTGCGTGAATCTTGAGATAAGAGTCCCTCTCCGGGGGAACTTGACGGCCTTCAGGGACTCTCCCGAGGTGGGGGTCAAGGGGCACTAAAGGTGATTGTAATCACAGTAAGCAGGAAATACCTTCAACAGCATTCTCCATTCTTTGTTTCAAGTGTTTGAACAGAACCAACAACAGAGAGGGGCTAAAAAAAAAATCACAGTAAGGAATCGATTCCTTAACAGTAACCAGACGTTAATGTCGTTGTGTGGGGGAGACACACCAACGGCAGAGCGACACAAACTGACCAGCGAATGTTAGTTATTTTTGGACTCTGTTCCAAAACAAAATGACACAAAAAAAAATACATGACACCAAATGACATCACACAGAAGGTGCCAACAAATGGCATGTCCCTGCAGGTGCCCGCTCACTGCAGAAACTGCTCTCCAGTCAGTCCGCTCTCCTCTATTGCTGCAAACCACCACTACTGTATTTTCCACACTAAAAGGCGCACTGGATTATGAAGCGCACCTTCAATGAATGGCCTATTTTGTAATTTTTTTCATACATAGGGCGCACTGCATTATAAGATGTAATCTACAATGCATCCACTAGATGGAGCTACGCCAACAGAACAATCAGATGTCAGTAAAACTTATTTAATAAAGCAGCGACACAGCTCACTTAACCAACAGCAAGTTATAACATAGACTCGTTGACGAACTTTCTTGCCGCTGCTCTATTTCCGTGTTCAACTATGTAACTGATCGCCTTAAGTTTGAACTCTGCATTGTCAGCATGTCTCGAGCAAAGAGCCATTTTGGGGTTGAAATATTACCGTAATGACCATACACAAGGCACATCGGATTTTAAGGCGCACTGTGAGCTTTTAAGAAAATGGAAGGCTTTTTGGTGCGCCTTTTAGTGCGGAAAATACAGGACTGAAAGCCATCATCAGATCTCCATGTCTAAATCATTCTGACTTTTCTCCTCATAATGTTAGTCATCCTGCTCAATGGGCGAGCACAACAGCCTTGCTAACAATATGATCCAACCTACTGTCGGGGTTGGACTTATACTTTCATTGTCTTTATTTTTGTTCATGCCATCCCCAGTGACCACAGTATCGCTTCCTCCTTAAGTCAAGTTGCAGTTATCCCATAGGGCACATTTTGAAGAGTGGTGCAGCATCATTTTGTTGCAAAGCTTAGAAACTTTATTCAGCCCGCAATGATCATCTAATGATGGATTAAGTGTGGAAACAATAAAAACGAATTACTTGAATATTCAAACAATGTAATCTTCCTGAATGAATGCAATTTCATTAAGTTCCGTTTCGTCAGTGACATGATTTTGACTGTAATAGTATTCCATTTGTTAGTTTATCTTTGCATGTGTGATTGTTTCAGAACTGACGAGATGTCCCCTGGAAAGGTGTCAAACAATCAGCGACATTACAAACACTTGAGGACAGGACAAAAATGTTAAAGTATTGTGTATTCTGAACTTTATGGTCAAGAACAGCCCAATAAAACTGATGTTTTTTTTTTTCCCGTTTCTTTGACAAATGGGAGTAATGTGTTTCTGCTGGGCACAGTAAATATACAGCCGTGATTCTTTTGTATTGATAAAAATATTTACAAACAAGTTTGGTAATTTGTTGGCAGCACTGCGGTGGATGCAACGTCTGTTTCATCGCCAAGGGGCTCTCGGTTCAGGCCCACCTGCGTAAAAATTGCATGTTCTCCCCATGGCTGTGCAGGTTTTCTGCAAGTACTCTGGTTTCCTTTCACACAGTTTTTAGGTTAATTCAAGAGTCTGAATTGTCCACACGTAGGTAGGTGTACGTAAGAATGTGAATTTTTGTTTGACCAGCTCAAGTTGTACCTCGGGTCATGACCAATGTCACTGGGTCATGAGCCTAACTACACATTTGTGTGAGTGTGTGTGTGTGATGTTCTCCCCATGGCTGTGCAGGTTTTCTGCAAGTACTCTGGTTTCCTTTCACACAGTTTTTAGGTTAATTCAAGAGTCTGAATTGTCCACACGTAGGTAGGTGTACGTAAGAATGTGAATTTTTGTTTGACCAGCTCAAGTTGTACCTCGGGTCATGACCAATGTCACTGGGTCATGAGCCTAACTACACATTTGTGTGAGTGTGTGTGTGTG